TTCTGTGATTCTGTGATTCTGTGTTAAAGCCTTAGTGTTTATTGCTTCTGGCTGAGATGCAAATACTATGAGAACAAGAGTTCTTTTGACAATGATGTGTTTGGGTTTATTTTATGACTACTTCTTTGGCCAGCTTAATCTCAGATTAAATTCCAGAGGCTCAGTGGATTGCAATCAGGGATACATATCTTTCTATAAAGAAATCTGTATAATGAAAGATGAATGGAAAAAGTAGGCAATTGCAAGCTTCTTAAACATCCAAAATAGTTTGGCTCAAGTATCAGGCAAAGGTTGTTATGTTTTTAATTTTATATGACTCAAATTTGCCACCCATATACACCTGCAAAAATAGCTTCTGATCTCTCTGGGAGACTCACAGGATGAACTTCACCATCCTGTACATGGGCAATGCTGCATGACTGTGGGTCTAGTCTAACATTATGGCAATTGGAGTTTAACAGACATTATACTTTGGAGGTAATAAAAGGCAAACTGTTTTTCTTCCTCACCTTCTTCTTAAATGTTTTGTGTTTTATCTGGGGATTGCATTTTTGAAACAAAAATACCCAGGTCCGTTTTGTTGATCTTTTCATGCTGATCAGCAGTTTGTGATTTCAGCCAAAACCCCTGAGACCCCTTCTGGCATAAGGCAAGAAATGTGGTTCTCACAGACCTTTTGCCAACTGAGCTCAGGAAATACAAAACAGATCAGGATAGAACCCACATTTGTGAGATTTTTCTCTCCATTCTTTCAAAAAGAGTAAATAAATATATGTATTTTCAAGCTTTTACTTCTAGGATTGGCTTTACTCCTTACATTGGATAGAATTGCAAAGTCCAAATCTATATTTACTTTTGTTTACCTACCCAATATTTTGTTGTATTGGAACTTTTACCCAGTGAGCTGTAAGTCTATTTGTTTTTTAGACTATGTTGAAATAGTCAGATAATATTTAAACAAACTTAGCTTAACTTTTTATCAAATACATCTTTATTTGCAAAAGTCACAATGTGTGTTGGTGGAAGAAACTACAAAATTATAAAGAACATTAAGCTTTCCCTTATGGGATGTATGGTACACAGGCAACATAGCCATGATCCACACATTTCAAAATATATCATCTGAGACAGAGATTAACTCAATCAGTCTGTACCACCTTCCACATACTGGGTTTCCACATAAAAACTTGCATAAAGCCTTTATTTTGATGCCATGGCTATCCAGATGTTTGAGTTAGAACCAGTTATAAACTGGCCTAAAATAAGTGATGTGTGGCACAAGCAGAAGATAATGGGGGCTAAGATTAATTTTAGGTTGGTCTAGTATCAGTAAATCTATTCTGATTAGATAATTTACCTCTGCCAAATTTTACATGTCTGCAGCATCTAGAAATCCCACCATTTTGTCTGCTCAACACCAGGCCTCAGCTTTTTGGTAAATTTAACCTTGGGATGTCAGTAAAGTAAGTAGTCCCCAATGAGCTGTTTGCCAGATTTAAGTTCCATAGTCCATAGGATTTCTGCTTTGGAAAACCTCTGGCTAGCAATGAAGCAAAGATGAGGCTTTCTGGTCATTAATGTGGCTATTGCAAACATGAACTCTAAAGCAAGCATCTGCTCTCAGCACAGCAACTGGCACCAGCTCTCTCTACCAGTGAAAACCAGAGCAGGAACAGACATTGCTCAGAGACCACCCTGGCAACCCATAACATTAGGTTACATGAAAATTCACACGCAATGCTGCCACTGCAGCTCGAGAAACAAACATATACTGTGATAATGACTGTTCCACACAGTTTTAAACGTATTTGATCTGTCTGTGATCTGTTTCCCCACCTCTACTTCTCATTTTCTTTCTTAATCTCTCCTCAGGCATTTCTCGCTGCTTTATCATTCAGCTACTTGAGTAAAGCATTGTCCGGTACAATTATGAAAAGTTCCATCACTCAGATTGAACGAAGGTTTGACCTGACATCATCTACTGTTGGTTTTGTCGATGGGAGCTTTGAGATGGGTAATTGATATTCTGTATCATGCAGAAAACTGTTGAGAGAAATACAAGGCACAACATTTGGCAATAATTTTGTTTCATTATCTTCCAGGTAACTTGCTGGTGATTGCATTTGTAAGCTACTTTGGGGCTAAACTTCACAGGCCCAAAGTAATAGCTGTTGGATGCTTTATTATGGCTTTGGGAAGTTTTTTAACAGCAATGCCTCATTTCTTCATGGGATAGTAAGTACTACTCAAGATTAATTTGGGTAGCCTAACATTGGAATTGGATACTGTTTTTTGTTTTTTGAATGAAACTTGGTGAATATTCTTAGATTTCCAAAGGCCTGTAGAGCCTCACCTCAGTGTGCAATGAATCACACTTGACGCACACATACCACTGTTCATTGTATTTGGTTGGGAAAATATGGCATCTCTGGAGTAAAAGTTCAAAATCTTGAAAAAATCGGAGAATCAGAATGCTTTATTTTACAGTCAGAGTTTTTCAGAAAAGAGATAGAAGGAAATTATTTTATAAAGTCATTAGAATTCATTTTTTCAGAAAGAAACACTTATGAAAACCTTACGATAATTTACATTTGAGACGAAATATATTCTTTTGAAAGTCTTCAACCATACTAGTATGCCTGTGCTATTACTTTAATGAATTCTATACCCTTCCTGAAAGGTAAACTGTAAGAATACCTTATTTGGAAAATCAGTGTTAACCTCAGAATGTGGCATCATTGGTTGCTCATAGAGATGTCATGATCATGTAAGCAGGAAAGTCAAACCATTATGAACCACAGTAAGATTGTAAGGACTATAAAATCCACCTATATGATCTCCAGAATAAGTTTGTGCTGTTTTGAACAGAGTTTCATAGCTCTGAGCAGGTTACTTCTATTCTACCTGAAATACTACTTTATATATAGTAACAGGTAACTTTCATGTAAAATCAGGGATTCAGAGCTTATTCAGTGAAGAGATCAACCCACAGTGATGATCATTAGAAGAATACAACTTCTTGAAAGAAGAATTCAGAGCCTTGTTGTGTAAGATGAAGCATTTTGCTCTCCTGTGGCGAACAAAGCAACCTCTCAGCCTCACACAGAGCCTGCAGATGGATCAGTGCTGCCAGAACAGGTCCCAGGGTTTTTCCTGATCCAAATGCACATGGCTGGTTAAACTAATTTTCTCTGACTGGTCAAGCTAGTTTTTATTCATCTTATCCAGGCTCAGAGAATTACTGCATGTTGCTTATAAGTGATAATGTTTCCAGCCATAACTTTGACACAGTGATAGCATATTTATGTTGCTCTCTTAAATGTATTAGAATAATTTTAGGTATACCACTGTAAAAAGAAAACTGAAGAATACATTTTATTCATGATCGTGAATCTTGTACTTATATCAGACTTCCATTTTCCACTGCTTAATCCAAACTATGTATCTTTCTTGTCTGTGCTGGGAAGCTCATACAGTTTCTCATGAACCTGGGCCAGATATTTTTCTGCGAAACTGTTCTGGACTGTCCCTCCTGATGAACGCTCTTTGTTTCAATCTGAAAAATACGCCTGCCTGGTCTAACAGAGCCAGCCCAGTTCCTAGAAGCAGAATGTGTGCTTTACCATGTTGTTCCACTTAAGCTAATTGTACTTTGCACCCCAGCAGGGCTCATATCTGGGAAAAGGATCAAGCTAAATCAGCTGAACAGCTTCCAATACCTGAGCTGCTCAGCTGCCTCACTGCAGAATTGTCCTGCTCCCTGTAAATACAGATAAAGAGTGTCTTTTAGCCACTGACTTTATCCACTGGCTACTATACAAGTCTTTCTAAAGCCAACACAAAGCATCAGGCAAACAGGTACCACCTGAGGATGATTTCTCACTCCTGTCCTCCCTCATTACCCCAAAGTACATATCTAAGGTGAAAAGGGGAACTTACACACACATTCAAGAGATTCTCCTTTCTCCTCGGCTGTGGAGTCAGCATAGGAAGCTCTCTTGGACCTGACTCTAAATTTTGACACTAGAAGTTCAATCCTATCAGAATACTTTCAAAAGCCCTTTTGAATTTTCCAGATTAAAATGTTAAGTCTTCTAGACAGATGGTTCTTACTTTTACTTGTTCTTTATTTTAGTGTTTTGGTTTTCCAAAATGTGCTTAAATAACCTTCCTTTTCATTCCTTCAGTAGCACTTTGTATTGCTATTTAAACAAAGATGCCTTTCTCTTTAGGGGAGCAGCAGTCAAGTGGTTCCTGCCCTACTACGCTGGTATTTCCCTAGTGAACACTGCTTCTAAACCTACTATTGTGTGTTTTCAGTTATAAGTATGAGACAACATCACATACAGCTTCTTCAGCCAACTTAACTTCAAGCATAAATCCTTGTTCCCTACATCAAGATGTGAACCAAACCTTGTTGGAAGTGTCCCAATCAGGTAAGGAATCATAAGTGTAAGCACAAATAAAGGAGCTAGTTTTATCCTTGGTTGCAACTGGAGTAAATCATTGCCCCATGCAAGATGCTCAGTTAGATTTCTAACTTCAGTGTCTACCTGTCTGGGAACACTTCAACACTTAAATGCACTTTGTGCACCTTATTTGGAGAAGAAAAATCCAATAAACACAAATTATAAGGATCTAGATCCCCAGTTGCCTATGTTCACACTTCCAAATGACAATAAAATCACCTTAACACTGAAGGGGATGCTGAGACTGTGTTTGAAGGAATTCAGTTACACAGGACCTGGAGTTGGGGATATGGAAGAGACAGCATGATAAGACACAAAACTACACAGTGTTAACCAGAAATAAATGGAGATTTCTATGGTCTTGCTTACTCGTTGCTTTGCATGGGACATGCATGGGACATTTATGAAAATATCAACCTGCCATTTTATTTTACACACGTGTTTTTTCTGGTGGATGTTACTTATTGTATTTTTAGAAACTAAATACAGCAGAGGTGCAGGAAAGTGTTATTAAAAGACTATTAAAAGGCATAATGAGGTTGGCAGCATTTCATTAATCTTCTGTAAAGAAGGCGCTGTTAATACCTTAAATACTAAAGTATAAACATTTCATGTGTTGAATTCCCTATGATTTGACACTGTTTCCCATTCAACTGTTCTGTTACAAAGATGTAAACTCTTATCTGCAGGCTGTGAGAAGGAACCATCATCATATATGTGGATATATGTATTGCTGGGAAATATGTTACGTGGAATTGGTGAGACGCCAATAACACCACTGGGCATCTCTTATCTTGATGATTTTGCTAAAGAAGAAGATGTTCCTGTGTATGTAGGTAATCTCAACATGTAGTAAACTGAGAGATTCATAGTATAAGAGGTTGATCATCCTTTGCAGAAGAAAACGTTCAGCCATTAAAATACACTAGCATCTGCTTCATTATGTTTTCAGCATGTTTGCACACAATAGCCATGTTGGGCCCAATGTTTGGTTTCCTGTTGGGATCTTTATGTGCGAGGCTGTATGTGGATATTGGATTTGTGGATTTAGGTAAGCAAAACAGAGAAGTGAAAGTAAGCTAATACTTATTTCTAACAGGTTCCTCTATACAGTTGCATAAGTTTTTATTATATTAATTATATTATTATTATTTATATTTTGTTTATATTGATGTCATTATTTTTATTATATACTTGCAATTTTATTAAATTACTGGAAGCTTTTAGGGTAAAGACAGAATTGGACAGGAAACTTATTATTTAAATGTGTTTTAGGATTACAGGATCAAAATATGTGTTTGAATTTGAAAGTTAGTACCAAGACTTCTCACAGACCCAATCTGCTTTACAAAACTGGGATCTTAGTGAAAGGATTCTGATAGCATAGCAGTTTTACAGTTTTGGTGGATTACCCACCTTTTCAGCTGCATTTTACATTATTTACTATCTACAAAATGTTTGCAGTACTTTAAATACTTTTTGCCAGCCTTTGCTTATTCATATGAATTTTAGCAGACAAAAGATTCAACTTTTTTAATTTAAGTAACTTGTATCTGTTTCACTCAATTCTAGGAAGCATCACTATCACTCCACAGGATTCCCGCTGGGTGGGTGCATGGTGGCTTGGTTTTTTGATAGGTGGAGTAGCCAGTTTCCTAGCTGCTATTCCATTTTGCTTCCTGCCAAAAAGTCTGGAAAAGCCAGAGGAAGCCAATGTTGACAAAACCTCATACGGTCTCTTGGAAAACATGGGCACCATGAGGAAGACGCTTCCTCCTGCAAAACCTAAGTCAAAGAAGTGGTCTGTAATGCTGAAAGGCAAGTGTTTCTCATATTGTATAAAAGTGAAAGGTAACAGACACAAGGTA